TATAAAACTCATATGTTTTAACTTTTTATTGGTATTTTATGATCTTGTAAGAAAATTAAAAATATATTACACTAGTTAAATAGTTTTGCTTTATATTTGTGAAAAAAATAGATAAAAAGTTTGTTTGCAGCATGCATGTAGTTCTGTTATAGCAAAGGCTATACATATATTTCTTAATGCAATTGCGCTTCTAATTTTGCAAAATGAATCCAGGAAAAATATTGTAAAAGAAAACTATCCAACTAGACAAAAATTATTTTACCACTCAATGATTATATTTATCAAAAAAAAAATTTATTTTTTGTTCAAAACAATTTTTTTTTTAAACTGATTTAAGGTTTTTGGTTAGTTATTTATATATATATTTTTAATGGTTATGCAACCAATTAACCCATATATTGTATTACTATCTAAAAAATGAAACATACAACAGTACAATTATAAAAGGATATATAATATCTTACATTAACAAAGCAGTCGTGGAAGTGAAGACGAAGGATGCTCGCGGCGATACGAGGGTCCGATCTTAGCTCGTTGACAATGGTGTCTCGTACGATGTTAGTGACGTTTGGGCATGAATTGTCGTAGAAGGTAGGGGTAAGTTGAGCATCGGACAAAGACGCAAGAAGCATAATACATCCCAATGTGACTAAGGACGTTATTGTCCAAGTGGGTGAAGGAGAAGAAGAGAATTGCATTTTTATTTTTATTTTTTTGTGTAAGTAAAAGTAAACTTATCTAATTAATTGGTTACTTGAGAAGAGATGAGAAATGTTCATGTCTTAAGGAATCCTTTTATAGGCAAAACGAGTCTAACTTGGATGCTCTTTTTTTTTTCTCTAAATTGAAGGCTTTTCTTTTTGTCAACTATTTCAACTAACCTTTATTTTTTCAGGTTAATATTTTACCTGTGGGTTTACAGAGGGGATGGATTTCTTATTTCTACAAAAAAATGAATAATAATAAGAATCTAAGACTTTGTTAGATGAAGACGATTATGATTTTAACACGTCCAAACTATTTCAACTAACTATACATATACATGTATTTATATATCCTTTATACATTATTTGTGAAGTGATTTTGGAAAAAAAACTTATGTGTCACTTCGATAATGATTCTCACAAAAAAAATGATGTCATGGCTTGAAAAGTATTATGACATGATAAATCTTTTTAGGAAATAACTGAATTAGTCGTCATAAAATCTACTCCAAATTTTTTCATAACTAAATTTATATTTCTCTCTTTAACAATTTAATTTCAAATCAACGAAAACTACATATTCCATAAATAAATTTTTACAGATTTTATGATTTAACTATAAAAAATGAATTATTTTAATTTGTTTTTAAGACTTTAAATTATTAGGTTTTTGGGGCATTACAAAAATACCATTTTTGTGTGCATATTTGCAAGAATGCCACTTAGGGGTGTCCATTTACAAAAATGCCACTAATTATAGATTTA